CCAACACACCAAGATTCATTTCTGACACTCCTGCCACACTTGAAACTCCGAGTCTCACACTACATGGTGTCTACTCCCCAGTTAACGTCTATACCATTCTCAGTCGATACGCCAGGTCTATCAACGAATTCGATGGCGGAAAGGTGATGTTGGAGGCGAGGCGATGGATACGTCCACAATTGAGTGGACCTAGGGTTCAGTCCCAACACCCTAGGCATTGAAATTCCATTACAGGTCTAAGGAACACGCCGGGCGCCTTGCTAGGAGTGACGTCAGTGGACTCGTGGCGATCAAGACATACTAGACTCCTTAAAATGGCCCTAGGACACATGAGCGAGTGAGTCCCACAGCTATATATATGCGATGATATCCATTGTGCTCGTAAACAGTAATCCTGCTCTCTGGGATATCGTTTGTTGCGGTGACAAACGGAACATGTTGCAGAACACTAGACTCTCACTGTTTTGCTCATGGTAGACGAATCCATGATAACACCCAGACACTCGTATTGAATCCAGTGACCAATGCCAGTAAGAACTCTGTTCAGTCTCTCCACGTCACATGGGATATGATCCAAATGACAGTTATCGCCGAGTTTCGGATCAGATACCAGCATCGTGATCTTTACGTTAGCGAGGATGCTCTTGAGCAGCGCACTGAAAGACTGGGACGTTTTACTGTTCGAAACAAGGGCAGAATGTATCAGCACATTTCGACACCTGAAATATCATCCACATCTCGACAACGACGCAACCATACATGGAGACTCCCAACGCTCTTTATATGCAGTCACGTCGTGACCACGCAGGATTGTCGGCCGTGTACTCTTTCGTCTTGTCTAAAAACCCAATTCTGTCCTAAATTTAACAATCCCCTTTGTAAGCTCGAGAATGGGATCGAGGGGTATGGTTTCATTTGTTTGGGGGCAAGAATGGCAAGAGCAGCGGTACTGTAGGCCCAGTTAGTATTATCTTAAGCAGCCTGAGGGCAACATCAAGAACCAGTGTACAACGGTTACTGATAAAAATTACTTCGCAGAACACTATTCCTTCTTTACACGGCTCACAGTTTTGCTCTCGGTAAGGGAATCTCATCCATGATAGCATGCGGAATCTCGTATTGAATCCAGTGACCAATTCCAGTCAGAACTTTGGAATTCAATCTCTCCACGTCACGAGGGACGGATTCCAAAATATCGTTGAAGTTTGGATCTGATACCAGTACGGTGATCTTAACGTTAGGTGGAATGTTCTTGATCAGCCCACTGAAAGACCACGGTGTGTTTTGCTGTACGAAGCAAGGGAAAACCTGTCAGCAACGCTAGCCATTCCGAGAACTGAAATATTACCCGAAACATCTCGATAGCAGCGCGATCGCACATGGCCATCCCCAACACTCTTGATATGCAGTCACGTCGTGACCAAGCAGGATTTTCAGCCATATACTCTTCGGGAGTTCTGATTCTCGCCAACTCGTTCATAAGTAATTGCGAGTTCTCACTTTCATTTTCTCCTCTGTAAGCTCGAGGGCAGGATCGAGGAGTATGATAGCAGTATCTTTCGTCTTGGGTAAGAATGGCAAGAGCGACAAGGTCACTGGGCCTCCAAAAGAATGGCCGATGATTACATCGTAGGATGTGCCCATCACAAAATACGATCGGAGGTCCTCTGCAATGTTGGACACACGATAGTCGGTGCTCCGTCTCCATGCATGCCCAAGGAGATTTGGAGCAACGACGAAGAACCCTGATCAACCTGTTAAAATGGCTTACTTCGTAACTTAAGAAATCTGACCATCTGCTACCAATAGCTCAGCGATGCCCTCCCATGATTGTGAGGACATGGTCATGCCGTGAATGAGAAGAGCCCGCCTAGAAGCGGTAGGCGAACCCCACTGAGACGCTGAAATGGTCATGTGCACACTTAGATGGCTTGGATATGTTCGGGACTTGGCAGCAGAGAAGATCGAAGAGGATCGGCGCTCGCTCTGTACTTAAAAGCTGAGGGCACGGTGGAGGGAAAATGCATTGGCATAGCAATGGAAGAAAACCAATGAGGATGACATGTCTAAATGGGAGAGTAGCACATCAAGGCATACTGTTGAATCGGTGATTTTGTGTATGTAGCAGATTCGGCTCACCAGTAAGTCCTAGTTCGCTATTTTGGGCGGAGAGAACTTATCTTGCGGGTGAGGGAATGGCTTCGTGCTTTGGAATCGCTGCGAAACTACATTACTCAAGCAACAGAGTCTAAGAAGAATATCAATAGCGACTGTATCATTTGAACGTAGACGAAGACAACACCACAAAAAATATATCTTCTCGAGTGCTCGGCTCAAAGTTTTGCTCTTCGTAGCGGAATTTCATTCATGATAATATCCAGACCCTCGTATTGAATCCAGTGACCAATTCCGATAAAAACTTTGGCATGCAATCTCGCCACGTCACAAGGGACGTGCTCCAAATGACAAACACCGCCGAACGCAGGATCTGATGCCAGCACAGTGATCTTCACGTGGGGTGGGATGTTTTTGAACAGGCCGCTGAAAGACCATGGCCTGTTATGCTGTTCACAGCAGAGGTGAAATTGTCAGCAATGCTTCCCATTTCGATACCGGAACTATTACCTCATATACCCCTTTGACAACAGTACGATCACACATGGACATTCCTAGCGTTCTTAACACACTGTCGCCTCGAGACCAAGCAGGGTTCTTAACCATATAGTCGTCGGCAGTTCTGACATTCGCAATCTCCTTCAGAAATATATTTTCATGCTTGTTGGCTGTCTCCTTCGTAAGTTCGAGAGCAGGATCGAGGAGTATAACAGTGGTTTCTTTTGTGTTGGGTAGGAATGGTAAGAGCGACAAGGTCACCGCTCCCCCAAGAGAATGACCTATAATCACCTCATAGGACGTATCCATGACAAAATACGGTCGGAGATCCTCTGCAAGAGTGGACACACGATAGTCGGTGCCTCGTCTCCATGCGTGCCCAAGGAGATTCGGCGCGACAACAAAGAACCCTGATTAACCTGTTAAAAGTGGAGTATCGTCACCATAACACTGCATAACCTGACCTTCTGTTGCTAATAGCTGAGCAACACCCTCCCATGATTGCGAGGACATAGTCAAACCATGAATGAGCAGAGCCCGCCTGGTAGCAGTAGGGGAACCCCACTGAGACGCCGAAATGGACGTGTGCATATATACTCGGATGACTTGGATGTGTTCGGATATCGTTGCGAGCGGTACAGCTTGTGGGACGGGCTTGAAGAGGTTAGTAACTTGGTCTTCGCTTAAATATTGACGGTGTGACTAAAATGAGAGCGGGAAAGGTGTGTAGAAAGAGTGATAATGCACAGGGGTAACCCGTATCCTGACAAGTCATGAGACTCTAAGGAATGGAATGGAAATTAATATGCCCAGCCTTCTGCGAGGACGTTGTAAATCGCCGCACAATAAGAGAGACTCGGAGGACGGCCCGCATCTAAATGTGCCGAGAAGCCATTGATAGTGCGATCCGCGCGTCGACAGAACTCTGAGAGCAGACTGAACGAAGGTGATGACACGTCTGCCTAAATGTGACAGAAGCATGTTGACCAATAAGTAAATGACAGCGAAGAAATGTTGATCCTACCATACTAAATGAATGTGGTATCGTATCCTCCTTGCTTCGTCGCGGGGGAGTTGCGCTCGGGAGGTAGCCCTGCCACTTGAACGTGTTCGCTCTGCAAAATATATCAATGTCTTCTTGCCTGACTTATCAACGTTGAACGTTGGAGGTTGAACGTTTTGAACAATTGGCCATGTAATACATATTAGGGTGAAGGTGTTGTCTGCTAAGACTCTGTCTCAGCCCTCCACCAACGTGAGCGCTACTGTCGTGGACGTGACGCGTGACGGAATTGGCCGTGACGCTTCCTTCTGAACTACAAATTCCAAATCCCCATCCCCACATCTCAACGTTGAGCTCTTCTCCCTTATAGATGCGTTCATACTAGAAACAACGTTATGCTAACTCAGGTGTCACTCGTGCATTGCAGTTAATACTCGGTTTTGTAGGTACTGGTGTCTGAACATAATAATTCACCCGCTTCTCCATTGACCATAGTGACGAGATGCCAGACCTCGAAACCTCCTACTCCCGAGTCAGTTGCCGCTACTCTACCAACAAGCTCAAAGACTGGACCACCAGCAGTTGGATGTAGTTACTCACGAGGTCTCGCTGTCTCAGGCCTTCAAACAGTCATGGATAGTATCAGCAATCTTCGCCGGCAACTCGCCGAACAAAAGACTAAGGTCATCCAGTCCAGAATTTTGCAGAGGCTTGCATCAGCTCTTTGACGCTTGCCAGCTGAGATCCTATCCCTCGGTTTTTTTATCGGAAGATAACTACTTGCCACCCGCATCAAAGCTGGCCTCTACACTGCTGACAAGAATATGTTGACGATGAAGGGATGTCGCTGTGTACATGTCCGGTTTGTGGTGCAGACTGTCTGTTGGCAAGGACTAGCAACGGGCTCGTGGCTTAAGTTGTCACGATGACGTCCACTTTTAAGATACGAAGCCTTCTTCAGCCATACATCCGAGTCAATCAAGTCTCATCTCTATCTCTTGATTTTTTTCTCCGGTGTCAGACATCCTGAAGTAATAATAGCAGATTTCCTTATACTCGAGGAGCTGACCATATCCATAGACAGTTCCAGTCTCTGCACAGTCTCAAGATAATAGACCTATTGTTCGGCCTCGACTACTTGTCTCCTCGATGGTTGTTACAGTATTCATGGAAATGGAGGTCTTGGAGCCTCACTCCCCAGTCTACGCGCGCTCGAAGCTCACTGTGTACGACCATGGCCTCGTGAGTTCGGTCAAAATCAGATGATAAAATCAAGTTCAGAAACCCAACAGTGCTGCGGGACCCAAGTTTCATACGCTCGGTTGGGATCTGGAACCCTTGCATGCGGCTGGGCGCTGACAAGCCCTGGAATAGACCAACACAGTGTGCAGTTGAATGATGATGTTCGTATATCATAGGCAATAGCATCTACATATGTTCTAAGCAACGTAGAGTGACATTCTTTTACAAAGTCTAAAGGGTATGGTTACTATTGGCACAGGTGCAATTTTGTTCATAGTTTGCACATAAATTGAGGAATATCAAGAAAGTGAAAAGAAAGGGGAGGCCCACGGTACGGACTAAGAAAAGTTCTGCCCCGTTGGTTTTTCCGTTGTACTACCCTTTATTTGACGGACCGGGCGTCCGCAAGGGGGTGGACGCAAGGAGAGCTCCCGCCGCAGCAGGTGATCTTTCCTGTGGTGTACGGTGTTATTTGGCATGCTTCTGGTTTGTGTGTGTGTGGGCAGTGTCTTGTATTGCAGCGTCTTGTATTGTGGTGTCGTCGATGCCAATTTCGTCCGCAATTCAGTCGGTGTCTAGCTCGAAAATGCTCCGCTCTCCACATGCACTTCAGAATGCGGCAGGCAACTGATTTCTGCATCTCATCTTCAGACAAAGACGAAAATATGGATGGCAGAGCTTTGTGTGATGTGATGTCCTCTGGCAGGTAGCTATCGAAGTCGGAAGATTGGCCGACCCAGTCCAGCGCAGTAATGTCACCCGAACGAGCCACGATCTCCTGCAAGAGCTGCTCAGATGCACTCTGCGCCTCCTGCAAGAGCCGCCCAAGTGCACTCCACTTCCCGAAGACACCATACCACGAATATGTGATATCCTCTTGGGATGTGGTCGACCATTGAAATTCCTCTTGGTGCTGCAAAACGAATGTCAACAATGGGACGAGTATGATTCAATATGACATGCCCTTTCCGCTGATATCCATTGCATCGACTTATGGTGCGTCTTCAACAATGGGTCGCCTTGCTGACTCGTAGCCGGGCTATAAAGTTGCAAGCCATCCCAAGCAGAGCCCGGTGAGAGGTCTAACACCTCTTGCCAGCTGCAGCTCATCAGCCGGGGAATTGTAACAGTAGACTGCGTGTAGACGCCTGTGCAATAACCTGAGCCCGACAGAATGATTGCAAGCATAGCAAAATGGACTGACATTCCGAGAATTGGACACGGCGGTACATTGCGGATAACAACCGCCTGCTGAGTAGTGACATTGACTCGGATAATATTAATGAGTCCCCATGATCCGCTTGAAGGAGAGTAGCAATCGCTCGGCGTAAAGCTTGAGAATACCAGGGGAGAACTGTTCTTGGATGACGTTCATGTAGAATCATAACAGATGATCCTTCACTGAATTTTGGCATATTGGTTGTTAGTATAGATTCGTCGATCATCTTAATTATCTTGATCTTATCTGCAGCCCTACAGTGTGCGCAATGAGTCTCTTGTAAGTTGAGCGCACTATTATGATAGAATCGAGTTTTTGATGCTTACCTGAAAGTCTATAGCGGGGATTCAGCAGTATGGAGGTGCAACGCGAGCCACGATCATTCTTATACCACTGGCTACAGCTGGGTACCAAACCAAGATATAATAATCTCAGAAACAATTAGTTGCTGTGGTCGCGGAGCTGTACACTGCTACGTGAGGGACCAGTCCGGCCGCCTCAGGCTGTCGCTCTTCTGAACATTTTCTTAGAAATTACGTATACTTGATGAGTCTAGCTAAGGGACGTCTAAGTAGAATGTCGATATTAAAATATTAATGGACGACCATCAGAATATTCTGTGAGGGGATTACAGCAACGGGTGTCTGGAGGTCCCCGTGGCTGGTCTCCATGATGTTCGGCCGCCCAAATAGGCAATGGCCTCACCGACACGGTCAGCCGCGATGGTGACAAAAGCGACTGAGATTTGGAGAACAGATCACTGGGGTTTTTCGGTTCACGGCCCGTTACCGAAGCAGTGGAATGCACTTACTGCTGTTACGGTGCTGCGGAAGTCGCTGAAGCTGGTGGACGCATGTTTAAAACTTAGTTTCTTTGGTTCGCTGTATTATTTTTAGATAGTGCATAATTGAGTTTGACCCTCCAGACATTTTCCTCGTCACTCTGGCTGTGATAAATATTTTAGTGACACGTACCCTTCGATTTTGATGGTTTGTGTAGGAAACCCTGCCCTGAAGGCAAAAATCGGACGGACATTATTCAGATTCGGCTCAACGAGGCGCCAAATAGGCAATTTTTCGGCCAAACATTGGGCTGTGGCAGCTATGGCATTGGAATCTTCTGCGAGGGAATCGCAGCGGCGGTACTAAGTGTATCACGGGCGTCTACTATAAACTGGTATTGATTGTATTTACTTTACACCAGATCTTGGCACGCTGGCCAGTCGGATCAGATCTGCAGAAGTTCCATCATCCACAGGATTACACGAAATGATGGCCAGGATGTACTTTGAAGCTTGAATACAGCATCGTGGGGCACTTCTAAATCCTCGCGGAGGTACGTTATGCAACCTTCTCCTGGCTAAAGGCTGTTGCTTCCTTCCTGTGACCGCCGCCGGCCTGCCAAGACTGCTGTTAGTATCCACTAAAGTTGTCAAAAGTTCAGATTACAAGAACGGTTTACCCGTCGTTCATACTCTTTGGACTCCATACCCTACTATGATTACACCCGTTCAGCCACAAAACGCCATAACCAGCGCGGAAACTAAGTCCATTTACATTCGAGACCTGCCTCCCCCTTCGGACACAACGAGCATGTCCTTCCATCTTCCAACGTTTCACCAACCAAGAAGTGGGCCTGTGCTAGTTGGCAACGGATTCGGCATTTGCAATGTCATAACATCTTCCGATCGACATCTGAGACTCAGTCCTATGTCTGCCGAAGGAGTTCAAGCGGAGAGATATGACAAAAGGAAGCCCATGTAGGTCGGCGTTTGAGATAGTATACCATGTCCAACCGACTGACCATTGACATGCAGTCCAAGAAACACTAAAAATTACACTATTCCGTTTATGACGACGGATCCTATCGAGTAACACGTTTTCACATTGCCATTTCAGTATCTTATGCATTATTTCAGGAGACCAGTTGCTCCTGGATGGCAAATTTACATTCATCCTGAAGGCTGCCTCTATTACTGTTATGAGAGCGTGGTGGATTTTAACAGGTATCCAAGGAAAATTCACGTTATAACACAGGCGGATCTCGTTCATGACGGAGTTGCTGAGACAATCGAGAGCCTTGTGAGGCTCGCCTACAGTCATGCTTGTCAATATTCTTCTTTCCCGGTGAATGTAGACCTCGTGTTGGAACTTATGGACGTCAGAGAAACCGTTACAGCAGGGTATTATTTCGTCCACCACGAGAACAGGTGCCTGTTCTGGTTACAGGACTTTGATGCCACCGTCATCTTGCGGGAATGCTGTGGTGTCACCGAACTTTCTCATAAGCGTCAGTTTTGTGGACTTGTGCTTGACCGTGTCTAATAAACTTGTAGAAATCGAGTTGGAGGCTCAGTACTGGTACGCGTTATAGCAGTTTGTGAGTACATTCAATGTATGCTTCACTACTAGAATGTATTGTACTGATTATATCAGTCGAGGCATGGTGACTGCTCACGCAAGTAGGAAGCATATTGACCTGTTTCCGCACACAAGTGCTCTCCACTGTCAGGTCCTTCGACAATTGCAGCAGATCATCCGTTTTGCGATAAGTGGTAAGCTCTTTACCATCAGGGCACCATACGAGAGCTTGACTGCGCGTTTCAGATTGCATGACTTCGGAGGTGTCGGCGGTCTGCGCTTTCAGCATTGATGTCCTCAAGAATACTCTGGACCTCGTCAAAGATGTGGATGGTAGGTCACACCAACTCCCGAGATCGCAAAACTCATTATATGTCAAGTGGAGAACGATTGGGTTCAATCGGCACATGACAAATGTTTCATCGGTAAGTAGTCGTGTTTCGCACGCAGTAAATCGAAGTTCGTGACATCGTAACCATTAGCGAGGATGATGAACCATTTTAGTACGTGACCTGATTCTAGTTTAAGATGTTTTCCGATCTCCTACACAGGGCACTGTCAATACCTCAACTATCACGGGCAGCAAGGCGCACGCCTCTCCCGAGATCAGACTGTACATGGCGACTCCTACGCGGAACGGTCCATGATGATGAGATGTCTTGCACCCCTACTCTTCAATGCCCCCTATGAGCACGTCCGCTCTCTTCACAAACTCTACGTCGACTCCATAATTAATCTGCTCGACTGGCGCTCCTTTGTTCAGAAGCTGAACGTCGAGATGCAGGACTTCAATCTGCTTGTAGGCTCATCAATTTTGTGATATGTGAATCATGCTGACACGTCAATGGTCAGGCGACGGTGCTCTTGAGTGTCAATGTTGGTTTTCTGGCGATTCAGACCGTAGATAATGGTAGGGGATATTCTTTGTCGCAGGTTGCGAGCTATGTTTCTGTGATCTCAAGTTTTGGGAGCATGCTGCTTGGCGTAAATATTGCGAGACAGAGCTACACGCAAGGTCCAAACATGGTTGATAACGCGGTGCGTCTTCTTACAGTTCGCTTAGTGACCGTCCTCAATAAACGTATCCAATTAGCAAGCACGCCTGCAGAGCTTAGTGCACCCCAAGCATGGCCTCGAGACGCTTGCAATCATATACAGTTTACCGTATGCTTTACTCATGTGGGGGTACGTTCGACCACAGCCTCCTCTGCCAATTTCAGGTTATTCACTACAGCTGTTAGGATGATATTTTTCGTGCTTGCATTCTTTACTGAATGTTTTCGTCACTCGAGTGCGGTCCCCTCGGTCCCTGTGAGTGTGGCGGCGCTTATTGTGCTGGTGCTTGTCGGATGGTCTTGTTACACGTTGGGAGACAGGGTGGAGCGTGGGCACTTGTCTGGAAGCGTGTTTACTGCAGTACAGTGGATCAAGGATCTACCCAGATGGATGGTGCGCTCAGTTTCCGCTCATACGCCTTGGTGCGTAAGTGAAGCCGAATGACAAAGAATCAGCTGGGAGTGTTTTGAGTTATGGTGGGAAATTATAAAAACCCCGCTGGACATTGCCTGGACCGTCGAACTAGTGACACTGTCGGTTTACACTATTCTGAATGCAATGATATCTCGTGAATCTCGAATTCTGTTTTGGGTGTTATGTGTTCACCTAGCTGGGATCTACCTATTTACAAAGGGATTCCTCCTCACCCGACTCGCACTCCCTGACAGAAGTGCAGACACCTGTACTTCTCTCGCTACCCACAAAAAAGCAGTATTGCTCGTCATAGACGCCCTCCGCTTTGATTTCATCGCAGAACACCCGCCAGAACCTGCATCACCTTTCCATCATAACACCCTAACTCTCCCGCGCGAATTGACCGCCGCTCATCCCGACCGATCATTCATATTTAACTCGTATTCTGACCCACCGACCACAACTCTCCAGCGACTCAAAGGCATTACCACAGGGTCTCTACCCACCTTCGCAGATGCCGGAGAAAACTTTGGAGGCTCTGCCATCCATGAGGATTCCATTATGCATCAGCTAAGCGCCGCGGGCAGAAAGGTATGTGCTGACCTCTTTTTTCCCCCTCCGTTTCCCTGATACAATCCAAAGGAAAGGTCGCTTTCGCCGGCGATGACACTTGGCTCGCCCTTTTCCCAGATGCCTTTCAGCCAAACATGACCTTTGCCTTTGACTCTTTCAACGTCGAAGACCTTCACACTGTAGACCAGGGCGTCATCGATAATATCTTACCCTTGATACGACATCATCGAGACTCGTGGCATTTTGCCATTGGTCATGGTTTAGGTGTCGACCATGCAGGTCACAGAGTCGGTCCAGACCATCCCGTCCTCAGAGAAAAACTCGAGCAGATGAACACTTTTTTGCATGATGTCGTTGCGGCCATGGACGATGATACCCTCCTCATAATGCTCGGGGATCATGGAATGGATAAGCTAGGTAATCATGGCGGTGAAAGCGTCCTAGAGACGATGTCAGCTCTCTGGATTTATAGCAAGGTCCCTCTTTCCCTTCCAAAATACGCAATTCCAGAGGCCATTCTACCGGTGATCACATTCCCAGGCACTCCGGTCCCCCATCGCTATGTCCAGCAGATAGACTTGTTGCCAACTATTTCTTTACTCCTCGGTCTTCCTATCCCATTCAATAACCTCGGAACTGTCATTCCAGAACTTTTCAATCGGGATTCCGACGGTTCGTCTTTGCAGAAAGCCATGGAACTCAACGCAGCTCAGATCAGGCGCTATCTCGATGCTTATCGATCTAGTTCGTCTGGTAAGGAGCTTGATACTGCCTGGCATGATTTTTCCCTCGCCTGGGATGGCATAAATGCGACGGAGGGGAATCACCGTTTCATCGCCCTTGATAACTTTACTCGTTTGGCATTATCTGCTTGTCGAATTCTCTGGGCTCAGTTCAATGTTTTCCTGATGGGCGCTGGATTGGCCGTCATTGGTTTGAGCA